GTGGCTACTGTAGTGGAGGAAGGCTGCTGGAGTTTGATTGCAAGAGGGAGGTTGGCTTCGAGCTGGGTGAGGGATTTGGGTTGAGTACTAGAGGCGTGAGGGGATGTTGAGTGGGTGGGTGTTGACGGATAGGGCATGGATCAGGATGCTCACATGTGACTGGGAGAAACAGAGAGGAGGTCCAGTGAGCAGATTGCGACTCAGTGAGAAAATTTGAGCCATGGATGTCGAGTCTATAGGAGGAGATCGGTCAAGGGAGGTCAAGTGTTCTAAGATCGTGAATATTGAGAAGCTCGTGCTAGAAGGGGTTCTGGAGGTTTGTGGCCAGGTGGGAGCTTTGCGGGCTCTGTCCGGACTGAAGTTGACGAGGCTCGGTCTTAAGGTTCGGCTTTGTTTGTTGTGGAGGTCAGATGAGCTCAATCGACAGTGAGGAGCATAATAGTAGGAGCTGCGGGTGAGATCGAGTGCAGGGTAGTCGATTGGAAGCCCGGATGTGAGATGGATGCGGCACAGTGAAGGGATCAACAAGGGAGGGACGAAAATGAGCTGGGTGACGGGGTCGGCCTGTGGACATTAGGTGTTGTGCGTGAAGTTCGACTTGGTGAAGGGAGGTCGGATAGGTCTTGCATGAGGTGGAGTCGGCTTGGTTGCGTTCATCAGGTAGAGGCAAGGATCTTGGTATGGTGGAGAAACATAGGCTGAAGAGTTTGGAGTAGGTAACGAGATCAGTGGACTTCACGACAGAGAAGACGTACGGAAGGAGATGAAGAGGGATAGGAGGTTCAGTTGGTGTCGCAAAAGAAGGGCCCGAGAGCCTCGCTCGCTCTCATTTTAAGAGCCAGAGCGGGAGCTTGAATCGAGCGACGGTTGTGGGATTTGCCCAGGAAACACTGGAGGGACTTGAATGGCGCTAAACAGCAAAGCTGCGAGGATTCGAGCGGGATTTGAGCAGGATTTGGAATTATGCGGAGGTCTTAGTAGCTCTTTATGTGTATTGAAAATAGTTAATTATTGGACAAAAATGTAATCAACCATTTGACCGTCTATTTCGACCTCATTAATTTGAGCCTCCAAGCTAGATCGTGATAGATAATGATTGAAGGGGTATTGCTTAATTGAAAATTACCTTCTTGATCACTTCCTGGGATAACTATATCATCTACTAAGGATGGTTAGTCAGTTTATGCAGAATCCAAAGTAGATTCACATGCAAGCGATGGACATGATATTGCACCACCTTAAAAGAAACCCAGGAAAACGGATTCTCTTTAAGAGAGACTGGGGAATAACCCTAGAAGTATACACATATGCTGACTATGCGGGATCACCTGTTGACAGAAGATCTACATCTGGTTACTGCACATTTTTTGGAGGTAATCTAGTTACATGGAGAAGCAAGAAATAGAATGTGGTGGCAAGATCTAGTGCAGAAGCAGAATATCGAGCTATGACTTTGGGAATATGTGAGCTACTATGGATCAAAATAATCCTAGAAGACTGAAAGGTCAAGTGGGATGAGCCCATGTAGCTACATTGTGAAAACAAATCAGCATAACCCACAATCCAATCCAGCATGATAGGACCAAGCACATAGAAGTGAACAGACATTTTATTAAAGAAAAACTAGATAGTGGTCTAGTAAGTGTCAACCATGTATCATCAAAAGATCAATTTGCAGACATCCTTACCAAAGAAATGGACAATTTTGCCTTTCTCAGAATGATTGTCAAGCTGGGAATGACAGATCTATATTCTCCAACTTGAGGGGGGTGTTAAATCTCAGCCTTCCGTAGCAAAACTGATCCCATGACCATGAATAGTGATCCGTGGGAAGCCCGCCTGGATCACGTTGAATACCTTCCATAACTAGACAACTGATTTATGAAAGAATGTATTACTCATTATTATGTACTTATTTGAGCATCTCGTATAGATCTATAAATAGGGAGCATGTTGCATAATAAAATTAAAACTTTTTCCTCTCAAATTTATTGTTTTAACATGAACAAAAGAAAAAACGAAGAGACATCAAAATGGGTTAAAAAAGAGAACTAAACGATGAGTTTGATTATGCATAATTAGAGATGGTATGCAGTTGATTAAATAACAAGTCATAAGTACTGCATCTTTGCAGCTTCGTCTTTCGGTTTGCTGCTTCAGCATCTCTTCACCCCTTGGGTTTTCTTTCTCTAAGATAATAATAAGGCCAAGAGACACAAAAATAAAGACTATCTGCTCTAAGTATTTTACCTTTATGCAACCTCCTTTCTTCTTTTCCAATGTGTATCCTCCCTAATGGAATATCAAAGCTTATTTGTTGATATATATTTGAATTGAGAAAAATTATAAAACTCTGATATTTGCATTCATTACCACTCATGTATCTCCCACTCCCCAACAGCTTGGTCAACCACCAAGCCACTATTTGAAGGAGAACCTTTGTAATATTATTATAAATTAATTCAATGATGTATGCTAGATTGCAAAGCAAACAAATAGTTTAGATTAGGGAAAAAAATGATATTTTTCTGTATTACTTAAATGCTATTGTTCTTAATTTTTTTAGTTTTAAGTAAATTTGAAATGTGCCTGCTGCTTTCGAATTGAATCAAAATAAACTCTTTTCAAATAGTTAATCAACTTCAAGTTGAGCTAATCTCAAACATTTCAAGTTTGAGATGAGGTGGAAATGCTCAAACTCAGCTCATTACCACCCCTAACGTAACCAGAAGAAAACCAATTCAAGTCAAAGACTTTTGCACTGAAGTCGAATCAAGTCGGGTTTGGAGAAGTGTTTACAAGAGACCATTCGATGCCCTGACCCAACTAACTCAATATATGGACTTCTTTCCATGATCCTATAGTAACTTATGGTATTCTATTCTTAAACTTTCAAATGCAAGACTCCTCTTAAATTATGATTTCAGGGATAAGTTGATAAGAATTTGAATGTTCAGGTTTTGCAAATAGATTTCTACTAAGAGCATAAACAACAAGAAACATAGCAACATGACATGGAAACACAAGTCCCTAAAAATTAGGACACAAAATATTAAGTTTACCTAGAAATATAACTATTAATAAATTGTTGGTTTGATTATTTCCTTGTTTCCTATGATGGGTTCACTCAATAATCCTTCATCTTCCAAATCGTAACTTCTTTTATCCAGAAGAGATAAATTAATCCAAACTTACCAAGTAATGATTTCATAAACAACTTCATTAACTATAAAAAAACTAATATATGCTACCAAGAATTTCCTTACGAATGATCATAATTATGCTAAACTAATCATATGGAAGCTAAAGCTTCATGGTTAATCTAAAACATGAAACTACATGAATATTAATAAATTAAGTATAACAAGAAATCATAATACAATAAGCCTAAATAATGATAGCTTGTGCATACCAACACGACCCTTTTGCAATGAAAGCAGTGGTTGGCCGCTTAATTCATTAAAAATTTGATGCCCCAACTGCTTCTTAGCAACCTGTAAAAATAAAAATAATATGGCCGGAGTATTATGCCCCATCACACACAAATAGAGACAAATAAAAGTAGAGAGAGAGAGAGAGAGAGCGAAAAATAGAATCAATGCTAGATGAATGAATAATAAACATAGGGCATAGCTAACGTACATAGCATTAAGTCATAAAAATAAGAAAATTTGAGTATAAAAGGTAAGAGGGAAAGACTTGTTTCTTCTCTACTAAAAACACATATTATTTGATTTGAATTAGCAGCACCTTACCCATTTGCCTGCTAAAAATAAAATAATAGATCTTAATTATTTGCTCTGAGCAGAAGAACACAACCCTTTCTTTCTTAAAAGAACTGATTACATCAGATACTTCATAAATCAATCCCGTTTACTATTGACCAATAAAACTTCCCAAGTGAGCATAGCTATGATGGCCACTGGTCTAAAATAGCCTATTATTAGTGGAAGTAATCAGAGGTCTTGAGATGCATCACAAATCACCCGCAACTCTGGTAAGTCAAAGCCTCTACAAATCAACCAAGTCAAATGAGAAAAGCTTGGGTCAAATCAAGTCAAAGGTTGGCCCACTAATCAAGATAGTTAAGGATGCCTGAAGCATATCATGCCATGTCAAACAAAACCAGCCAATGCCTGAAATGACAATAAAATTGATTGCATGAATGAACAGTCGAATATAAATATCATCCAATCTAGATCAACAAGAGGACTATTACTTGCCATTTGGTCACCACTCTTTATCTTCATCAGGAAGCTTCTATCTCCTTCAACCCCTCAACCCTAGCTGCATGTAAGATTAGTCGCACATCCCTAATAAGAAGGGGAGGCCCATCTCCCTCTATAAATAAGAGGGGTATGGCATGACAAAAAAGAAGAGAACCCTAGGAAAGCATTGTCAACATGTTGTCATAACACGCATGAAAAGAGAAGGAAAAAGCATTGTGGAAGTTCTGTCGGAATGACAGGGACATCTTAAGGTTGAAAGAAGTGCTCTCAACACAACCTCTCCTCCTATCTCCTTATCTCTCTCAACTTGTCAATCACAAACTCATCGAATATCTAATGACATGGTATAGTTGAGGCAAGCCATGCCATCCATACAAAAGCTTCAGGACATGGAGGAGAAGCACTAAATCCTATGGCCTAGATTAATGGTGATATCTAGACAAGTTTGAACTAGTTGGTCTCAAGTATCCAACAATGGGCTTTCCCCATCATCTGGATTATGATTTTCATCAATGGGCCTTCTCTATCTTTCAAAATTATAAGTTCAATCATTAGGCTTTGCCCATCCTTCACGTTGCAAGTCCCACGAAAGTGCCTATTTTATATTTAGAGTTCTAAGCCCAAACTTGTGGGTTTTCCCAACTTTAGAATTGTAAGCCCCAATATTGGATATTTTTTATTTTTCATAATCATAAATTTCATATCATTCAAGTTTTCCCTTTAACTAAGTTATAAGTCTCATTAATGAACCTACCACAAAATGTATGACATAACTCTAAGTTGAGTTCATGGAGAGGAGACAAGACTAACGAATGTCAAATTCAAGTACACTTATGTTCTAAGCTTCATCTTTTAAAACTAAACAGACCTACCTCCAACATATAAAACTTGTCCTTCAAAATTAAATCAAATCGATATTGTTTGTAGCCACCAAGTTCCCTAAATTAGACTTCTTACAGCAAACAGCACATTAGTGGGTGGAAAAACATCAAGATCACACGTTAGCAAAATGAACAGTATTGAACCATCAACTCATGAATTGATCTACTTAGGTGAGCCAACAGTCCTCAAGTAAACCCCCACTTTACCTCATTCCATGGATATCTCTTCAAAGCATTTCGAATTGCAATCCAAAACTAAGGCTTAACTCATGGTTCCCTTCACAAGGAACAAGTGGACATGACACAATCCTCTATTACGTAGTTAAACCACCTCTAAATAAGGGAATGATCCCCAAGAATAGCCAATCAAGTTAGGCATCAATAAATAATTACAACTACAAAACAAAGAAAGCCCTAAGCACAAACTCCACATAAACTTATGACATGTAGCATAAGAAACCTAAATCATGTGTCTCCGAGCATTCCCTTTTTTGGCTTGAACCATGGTTCATTCTTATAATTAAATAGGTCATAGAATCATAGCATGCCTATGAGTGGTCGTCACATATCTATAGTACATTTGAATTGTGATTGTCCATGGTTCACCCCTTCGAGCTATTTAAGTTTGAATCACTCATATCAAACCTCTGATTCATTAGCAACAATGAAGAGTTCCTCGAAATTACAAAAAAATATATATATTTTGTCTCTTACCTAGTCAAGCTAAGACAAATCCAATATCTCATCAACTATGATGCATAGATATGGGCAAGGCGACATGGATACGACACGGCGCGGAAACGGGACACATCAATTACTGAAAATATAGGACAAGGACACCAGGAGGAAACAGTAATAAAACTTTTTTATACTTGAAATATAAAAATTGAATAAGCAAAATATTAAGGATAATTGAGAAATAATAAGCAATTCAACTAGGATTTATGCTTAATATTAAGATGTCAAGAGTCAGACATAGATGTCACGTTAGGCATCAAGAGGGGAGACGATAATTCTCTCAACAATCGGGAATCATGTTGTGTAATAGGCATCGAGCATTGATGTCAAGGCAGTGTCTGTCCTCAATCTCGAGATGACGTCCTTCGTCAATGTTAAAATGACATTAAACAAATATTAGATGTCGAAAATGCAAGGGGGAGTGATTGTGGGTCTAAAACTTGTGGGTGTCGAGTGTCAATGTCAACACAACATCATACTTTGATATTGAAATGATTTTGAAATACTGATGTTGTAATGACATTAGACGTTGATATTGAGATGACATCGAGCATTGTTTTGAAATCCTAGCTGCAACCTACTAAAGAGAAATGAAAATGAGAATATTCAAAGAATGGAGTATTGAGTGTGGATGATTAGTTTGGGACTTTGAAGAGAAATAAGAAATTTAATTTTTATTCTAACTAAATAAAAATTAGAGATAAAATAAATTATATTTAAAAAAAATTATAAAATATTTTAGACTCATGTGTCAAATTTATTTTTAATATTTATTTGATCAGACACATCGTTGGTGTGTCCGACACATGTCAGAGGAGTGTCAGACGCTTGTCATGTCTGATACGTGTCGGACACTGCATACATTTTTGTGGAGAAGTGTCAATGCATCATAGTCATCAATAAAGGATGTGTCATTTCGCAATATTGTCACCCCATCTACTTGCAATTCCTTAAAGGAAGCAACCTATGGTTAACACGTTAACAAAACTCCGAAGAAGTCATGGTATAAAGCTTTCTAGCTTTGGTAGGCTATGTCTATTTACTAAAGATAATAGAATCAATGGATTTTGATTGGGCTAACAATCCATGGATGCCCTTAACCAATTGTAATGATGATATTTTACCCAATGCCTCTATGGATGTCCTTAGTCAATAGTGTACTCTATCAAAGGGCATATATGTAATTATTTATTGGGGTTGGCACCTATGGGAAACCTCAATCACGTATATATAGATAAATAATAGACAACAACTTGGGAAAATCTTCTTTAAGAAACATTAGGCAATTTTAAGTTTAATTTTAAAAAAGTAGAAGTAAATCAGAGTGAATAAACCTTTCAAAGCCCCACTCTTACCTTCCCATAAGTCCTTGAATACAAGTTTACTAATTTAATAGCTCATATATTCCAATATCAAAATATACCCAAAACTCAATGGACTCAATCTATTGGGCTTCAAACTCTATGGCAGCTAATGCAACACTTTCAATAATCCTTTGAATCTAAGGTCCTAAAAGTATTTACAAGCTAATATAGGGGCTTATCCAAAAACCACAATCATTAAATTTCATGAACTTCCATCTTTAAAAAGCATAAGTAGTTTTCTAAATCAATGGTGAGCAAACTTGAAGTAGTGGTTAGGTTACCTCTATTACAATTTGTGGGGCATTATTTTGAGTAACGGAAATATTCATTTTCCAACTGCAAGGGAAATGTTGTGCACATCCACCCCTTCCCAACTCTTGCATTGACAAGATCTTCATTCAATGTGAACACTATTTTTTCATTTTCTAAAACAGCATATCACCAGTAATCATGCTATTATCAGCATTCAGCAATCGATATTAATTCAAAAGAACAGCTTGTCCTTGTCATCAAAGTTCTATAAACTATACAATAGAGCTTAGTTGTGATTATAAGAACATAACAAATCTTGTTATGCCATTAGAGGAGACAAACTGGTGCTGAGCTATTCCATGAAGGATTCATTATTGAATGATAGCACACCATACGTCTCTAAATTACTTCTGCAATCAGGCACACACAAGGTTGTGATGCCCAACCGTATCAAGACCTCCCCGGAAGCTCACCCCAATTTTGCATTTCTATTCTTCCAAGACTAAAGTAAAATGATAACAAGTCATATGTTACAGATCACAAGCAGAAAATTCATGAATTTTACAGATGGGAGTTGCTAACTATTGAGCTGATTCACTTCCCAAAGCTTCATCCCTCAACAATGAAAAAAAAAACACATCTTTCGCCGGTCAACAACCTGGTCTACTGGAATGAAAAAGGTAATAAGAAAGAAACAGGCATGAAAAGTGAGTTTAAACCGCGCCGGACCCGCACAAAACCCAAAACATCCAATTTCAGGAACAACGCGCACACAAAAGGAAATAAGAAAAGCAGCAATATTGAGCTGAGAAGACCCATGTTACCAAGATCCGCGAAGAAAAATCAATTTCAATGAGAGAAATAATAAATTGAAGAAGAAAGATCGCACCTGCGTGAGTAAGCGCTGCCAAGCCATAACCGCCCCAAAACCCTATCGTTGTTTCTCTCGGAATCAGGCCCTCTTTTTCTTATTGTCTCGCACTGTGATATCTACCAAGCTAAGGCCTTGGGCGGAGCAGGGAAGAGGCTTAGCAAGAGGAGCACGGATTTGTATAAAATTACCTTATGGAAATATCTGCAGTTCTGCGCGCCGCTTCTTCAGCGTCGATTACTTTGCCTTCTATTCCTGCTTTTAATCTGCAGATTGAGATTTACATTAAAAAAAAATTATTTAACATAAAATTTTTTATATTTATATAATTTATATCCTCTCAAGTCCATAGAATTAAAGAGGAGTTCAATGTTGGTGATGGGATCGACAACATATGACGGTGGAGACAAAACCAATGGCAAGCAAAGGTGGCAGCGGAATTGGCTTTTATTCCCCATTTTGACCCCCTATAACTATGATGATATGTAACATAAACAAATAATCTAGTCGGACTAATTTTCTACTCACTCAATTATAATTAATAAAGTCATGATAAGTATTGATTTAGAGGAAATAAAAAAGAACAGGAGTGCTAGAGATTGAAAACCAATTGCAGCGGAGGTGCATCGATTTTAAAACGTATGGGAGGAAATTAGTGGTATATATAATCATTGGAATAAGTGCAAAATTATGCTGTGATAACCCTATTTTTTAGTAGTGGATAATAATAAAATAATGGTGAGATGCTAAATTTTTAATATGAGGAGAAAATTATTCTTAGGCTTAGTATTTATTAATTTATGCACTTTTCTTAAATTGTTTAGGTGCATGCAAGCAAATAAATATTCTTAGTATGTTATAAAGATACTAGCAAGCTAATGCATTTTTATATGATGATGTGCTTAAAATAATTTCAAGATATTTTTATATAATTCAAATTTAAGATTGTTTAATAAAATATAATGCATATTTAAGTATCTAAATTTTTATTTACACATGTGAAGTTTTAGCTTCGAAGCTTGTTATAAAAAAAAAATAAAAAAAAATAAAATAAACTCACAAAGAGAGGCAGAAGTGAGAAGTAATTTTTTTTCAAAAATGAGTCTATCGCCTAGTTACCAGGGTCTCCAGCATTTTTTGAGTAATAATAATTTGATTTTTTTTTTGTATATTTATTTGTTAGCGAATGATTATTTTATTAAAAATAATTTTAATTTTAGTTTTTTTTTTTAATAACTTGAGACAAATTAGAGTCGAACAGGATACAAATGTGCTTGTTGATATTAAAATGAATCAAATATGAACATAACATTCACAAATAAATTCGACCACCAGCTGATTTCAAATAAAAATATATTCAGCTCTATTTGTTTTTGGATTGTAACGTTTTTTTTGGGACATTTAGGCCATTTAAGCCAAACTCACACACACAATGCATACACAAATACTCGAATCCAAGACCTCTTAGTTGAAAGCATAAGCTCTTAACCAACAGGTCAAGATGAGCTGTTAACCTGTAACGTTTTTTACTTTATAGATGAAGTTCTAAGGACAAAAGGGCTATTAATACTGCAAAGATAAAATCAGGTGCTAGTGGCTCTGTTAAATTTTTTGCAAATAATAAAGAACTTCCCCATCACATGGAAAAAAAACTGGCTGAGCAAAAGAAAAGTAGCTAATAATCTAAGATTGATCAACCTTTGCAAGATCGAGGAGCTGATATATTGAAACTTCTTAGTGTTCAAATATATTAGATTGCATGACGATTACATGATTGATGGAAGACAGTTTTTTTTTTTCTTAGGCCTAATGATCACTCCTTTCTTAAACCTTGAGATCATTCTTAGCTCTTAAACCTCTTAGAATTCGAGCATTACAACTATCCCATCTAATCTCATTTGAAAGTTGGTATATATTTCTTCATGCTTCTTAAAACAACTTTCTATTGAAACAATTCTACTAAAAGGCTGTTTTAAGCAGCAGTAAGAAAACCGTCGCAAACGAAACCTAAATTTCTCCCTAAAATTACACTTCTCTATATGCTTTTTGAGCTAACTAGAACTCATATCACATTGATGATTTCTCACCTAGCCCGCAAAAGAAGTAGCATGATATAAGACCTTTAGCATGAACTAAACCCCTTCAAGAAGTTTCATTAGAAACCCAATTTCCTTCAACATTATGTCAACTTGGAACAACAAAATCATAAAATCCACACAATTTGGCATCTTTCAGAGAATTCCCAGAAAAAAAAAAACTTAGATGAAAACCACATTACGGATTTATTTAAGCATCTGCAAGCAAACCATCTTTCTCTTCGAGGGCAAGCAAAACTTCTCAGGACCCTTTCAAGAGCTCATAAGCAAACCCACACTTTCTATTTTCCATCCTCTTCAGCTTTTTCTTTCTTTGGATGAATAGCTTCTACAAGTGCCTCAATCTCTTCCTTTACCCGCTCAAAAACACCAGGGCCTTTCACTTTGTCTATCGGCGTGTTCTCATCAATGTCATCACTAGTCCCATGAGTCTCATTCTGGTGCGTTTCCTCCCTGTTCACACCTCTCTCTACCAAGCAATTCAATATTGCAGCGAAAGCACTATCAATTTAACTCAAACAAGTAAAAGCTCGAGATGTAAAGCAGTAAAATCATATATTTTTAATCAAAAACAACAATTTTTCCAAGCCATTCTTCCTTCAACACTAACTGCACAATGTTTAAGAGAAAATCGATTACACGAACAACCATATTAGCCAGATAATCAGGCGAAATCACATTATTTTCAAGGCATTAAAAAAATCATTTTTTCTTACTGCCCTAACACGGAGCCCGGACATTGAAATGAACAACAAACAAATTTAAACACTTCCTTTACCAGATCAAAAGGGTAAATACAGATGGGAAGGGGAAACCAGAGAAGAACGACAAGAAATCTTCGAAAGTTACCTTCTTTCGACAGTTCCATTCTCAACGGAGAAGCGAAGTTGAAAAAAGACTGGGAGCGACCGCCTCACCGGGCTCTGGGGATCGCATCAATGGCGACTGGGAAAGGCCACGCGTTGCAATTGAGCATCATCCAAAAGCGTACGTGCCACATTCAATTGGTTGGTTGGATCCACAAATCGGACTGAAAATTGAAATAAATTGTTTTACTGGAACTGAAAAAAACAGGTTTATTATTTATTGTGTGCAAATATTATCGTTTAGTTGCAAATAATTACTTTAGTTGTCTAGAATTTCATCATTGTTTAAATTTTCAAAATAATTCTCACACTATTTTTATTTGGTCAATTTAACTCAAAGTATCTCGGTTGGCCTAATTTAATTCCTGGACTTACAAAATTTATCTAAAATTGTCTCTTATTATAATTGTGATATAAAATTGATTCTAATTTAGCCACTCGACTTTACAAAATTAATCTCAATTTATTCTCAAATATAAATTGATAATTTAATCACTCGACTTTACAAAATTAATCTCAATTTATTCTCTAAGAGATCATTGTGGATCAATTTTTTATAATCAAGGGATTAAATTGTAGCAATATTATACTATGAGATTAATATTGTCATATATGAATAAAGAGTAGATTATTTTGAAATTTAACCCTTTTAAAATATACTAAAAAATAAATATATCTGCTTGAAATATTAATATTTATTTGAATCATTACAAAATATATTTAGGAAAATAATTTTTAGTGTCTTTTGGTTATCAACTTATTTAAGTTATCATTTGAAATTAACTAATATTAATTATTTAGATTATTTTTCATTTTAATTATTATATTTTTATGTAATTTATTTGATTGAATATAATTAATTATAATTTATAATTTTTCAACCCAAGTTATAATGTACTAATTAACTTGAAATCCATTTGCTTCTTCGACGTCTTGTGTTATATTTGAAAGTATTTTTAAAGTAAAATTTTCTTTTTATAAGATTTACATTTTAATAATTATAGCAAATGAATTTTCAAGTTAGGTTCTAGACAAGATTGAAGTAGTGAAGCATAATCCATTGTTTATGAATGAAAACCTTATGCAAAGTTAATACACATATCAAGTTAGGTTCTTGACAAGATACATCAACAGAGAAATGTGTGTGTGCATTGCATGTATTGATTTCATACCATATATAATTGACAAGATAGATAAGACTGATGATATTGACATCTCTATATTCATGCTATATTATTGATTCATTAATCATTGATTTATTGATTTTAGATGTTGCTTTTTTATTTATTATTGATTTATGGATTTAGGCATGTTGATTCTCACTTTTCACTATTGATCATATTGAATCGTCCAAGTAATGATATTGGACACTATTGATTTTAATGATTGAGATGATCATACATATTAACTTTTAGATCTTATATTAAAAGCTTTAGTATTTTTGGATTTTTGCTGAACTTTGTAAACTCATTACATGGTTTTAATTTATTTCATGCCAGGGAAGAGTTCAAGACCATATTGAGTGAGACTATTTGAGATCTTTATGTTTTTCTTTTGATTTTGTTATGTATTTTCTTTTATTCTTTGGTAGTCATGAGCTATGGATAAATTATTGATTGTTAGTTATCTCTTAGCTATTATGAATGTGATTTTGATGAATGAATATAGTGAAACATTGAAATATGTATGATATTTAATTGGTTTTGATGAATATATATTGATTTATTGATGAATTATAGAAGCTCTTGTAAATAATTAAAAAAGATAAAATAAATAATTCTTCTACTTAGGATCTTGGGCCATGACAAGTCTTGATTTTAAAATAAAAACATCATTTCCACTAAACAGACTCATTTCACCCAATTGAGCCGACGCGCGCGCGCGCACTCGCGAGAGAGAGAGAGAGAGAGAGAGAGAGAGAGAGAGAGAGAGAGGATTTCTAGAGAGAGAAAGCTAGTTTTGGACGACTTCAATCTATTCTAGGAGAGAGAGGATTTCTAAAGAGAGAAATACAGTTTTGGACGACTTCAGTCTATTCTGAAAATTGTCTGATTCGAAATAGGCTACATTTTTTCTATCTCAATTTTTAATAATTTGACAATTTTGGATTTTCCTAATTTAAATTAGAAATTATGGTGTTCAAAACGAAATAACTTTTAAACGGGAAAACTTTCACCGCATAAGTTTTGATATATTGTAGAGAACGTATTTCTAAACATTTATGTGTTTTTTGTGAAATTTAATCGAGTATTTTTGAAAAGTTATTTTTCTAAAATTATAAGAAAAAAGTCAGGCAATGAAAAATAGCGTTGTTGAATAATTACTGTACCAAATATAGTTGTATAGAATCTCATGTAATTTGATAAAATTTTGAATTAGAAATTTAGCTACATTATTATAGGTCTGATTGCTAAAATGTTGTTCGTAGGGCATATATCTAAAGTTCTATAATTAGTCACATTTATGTTTAACTACTAACATATATTGTTATATGACATAATTGATATATGTGTGCATCTCTGTATAGGAGTTTAGGGGGACATATGTTTGAAATTCTATTATATATTTGCAGAGTTCTATAGCAAAATTTCTAAATATGCTAAACGTATTGAGCGGTCTAAGGGCCTAGAGTTCTGAATGAGTGATATACATGTCTAGAATTCTGAATGGGAGACATAAGGGTTAGAGTTCTATTATTTTATGTAATGTACTGCGTGTTTATTTATATTATGTTCATCATACTTTACATTTTGGTCAGCATATTGTGCTATGAATTTTGTAATATGCTTAATTAACTGCAAAATCTTGTACTGTTCAAACACCACTGTAATGTAAGTCTATCATTAAGATTCGAATACTTGCTTTATTTTAAGTCATTGGTTTTGCAATTATTAAGAAATGATTTGGGATAATGTAATCTGCTAAGCTGTGTTAGCTCATTTTGTATTATGCATTACATTTTCAGGTCAGGGTAGAGCTAAAAGGCCGGCTGAGTAACTGAGGCTGATTTTTTGAGTATGTATGGCATATAAGTTTCTTTTATATTTTTGTTTTAGATTTTTGAACAGTCCCGACTTTACTATATTTTTCGCCTCATGTCTGTCAGTTGCTCGAAACTGTTATAGCAAGAATTTATAATGTATACTCTGTCATATCTTTGCCCTAGTTTTATTTGAGTTTATTTGCTCAAGAGGTGCTGCAATAGTGAAGTTGAATATTTCTTGGTTCATTATTGACTTAAGTATACATGGGTAATTTTTTTTTTCTTTTAATTTTGCTTCATGTAACACAAATTATATTATTTTGATAAAAATGTAACATAAAGCTAGGTAGAGTTTCAAATGTGTTCTTATATACTTGTAAAAATATCTCTACAAACTATATTATGATCTTCTTCAAATCATGATTGAACATGGTTCAAGAAGTAAAACACTATGCAATTTGATCTTTATTTGAACAATGTTTAAGCGTTGCTTATTAAATAAGGTACGATCACATCTTAGCTAAGCAAAATTTTAAACCCATTAATGTAGATTAGGCATCATGATCATATATTTGAATGTAATTTAATTAAATATTTAGTATATTCGACTATGATTTGATAAATATTAGAACTTACTCGATTAATTTTGATCTATATTCAACGCTGATTATGTTTTATTAATATGATTGAAAAATATATAATGAATCACAGATATTGACAAATTGTATGACATTTGAGCGCAAATTAACATTTTGAAAAGGGTATATGTATAAATATTCTGTTTACAAGGTTTAGTTTAATTAGTGTGCAGGCTATGGTTGTTTTTATTCAATTCATTTCTTGGCGTACCTTTTTTTGTGTAATAGTTTAATTTACGAAGCTGATTGATAAACTAACATTTACTGTGTAATATTATATTACCATTAGATATCAATTATTGTATTAAAAATGTTTAAATAAGAAATGTGAACAATCATTTGGCCTTGTCTTACAAAAATCCGTTTGATGACCATTGTAATAACTTCATTATTACCATAAATGATGATGTTGAATCAAAACATCTCACATGACTTTTCTAACACAAGGCTTAGGCTTCGTTTGGGACGGCTTTCTTACTGCTTCTTGAAGCTGCTTTTTAGTATAAAAATTTTAATTTTTTTTACTGATATAAGGATTACTATAAATTAATCTAGAACCACTAATTGAATATTTGGAAGGTAATGGAGAAAAGAAAAAGAGTTAATGCAATCAAGTAATGTGCACAAGATCAACTACAATAGTTTGGGGCTCGCAATGCATCATAATAAGATCGAAGCAAGAGGGATGATCGATAGTTACTAGGGAGACAGATGATGATGACAAAGGCAACATGACAGAAGATGATGAAGGTGATGGGATAGATGGGGTAGGTGTGGGCGATAACAGGGTTTAGGGATATATTTAATGGGGCAGGGTGTGCTATTTTTTAATTTATTTTGTTGTTGTTTTAGACCTAAAACTCAACATCTTATTGGGTTTGTATTTTTAGGATGTTAGGAGTGCAGAGTGAATTAAAAATAAAGATTTAAAATTGCGGGTGTTTGATTGACACACACAAATGCAAAGTAATTTATTGGGGAGTTTGTAATACATCACTTAGTCCATTTTTGAAATATTTTGAATTCATACAAACTGAGTGTTTTTGAAAAATATCAGCTCTTGTGACTAAGGGAGAGCACATGCAACTCCATCCTTTGTCTCCATCTCATAAGAACTTTAAACTCCACCCTCTATCAAGCTGATAACACAACGACCTTGCCTCACTCGTGTGCAACTACATTGACTGTCACACCCCAGTATCTAAAGTGAAAGCATTTTATTTCCCTTTTCTTTTTATCTTTCTAATTTTCATTAACAATCAATATTTTCTCATTTAATTCAATATTCAGAGCCAACAAATTGATTTCTTAATTACATGCTCAGTATATCACATGCTCATTATATTGCATGTTCAATACTAGCACATTGAATCAATAATAGTAATAGTAAAGATTAATCAGTAGTAGTATCAATAACAGTTCAATAATAGTAATAGTGTGTATGGGTACTAGTAAATTCAGTGGTGTAGTAATAAAATAATGC